GTTTGGAGGTCTTTCTTTAAAAGACTTGAAGGTCCTTCTTTAGAAGACTTGAAGGTCTACCTTTAGAAGACTTTAAGGTCTTATCATAGAAGATTTGAAAGTCTTCTCATAGAAGACTTGAAGCTATTTTTAGAGAAGACTTGAAGGTCTTCTTATAGATGGCTTGAGGGTCTTCTTATAGAAGACTTGAAGGTCTTCTTACATTGGACTGAAAGGTCCTCTTTTACAAAAGACTTGAAAATCTTCGTATACAGAAGAGTTTAAGGTCTTCTCATACAGACGACTTTAAAGTATTCATTATAAGCTTATTTTCAAAAAATTTACACAGAATTGAACAACTGAGCATTTAGTTTGTAATTTCAGCTACTTTAGTTTTGGTCACCAGTATTTCATTAAATTCAGTATAAATTCTTTATTATGAAGATTCGTCCGAATAATTTACTAAAATTAAGTGAAAAAAATCGAGGAAGAAAGGACCAGATTTTATCTTACAAAATTCATTTGAAGGCTTTCCTCCATCCCTTGAAAAAAACTCTAAAACATCAAGACGTTCTCAAAGAAGTTTCGAATATTTTCCCATGAAGTTTTCCTTGCGGAAAATGGTGTTCTGATAGAAAACTTGAGAATCTTCACATAGATATCCAAAACCTCAATACCCAAATTAAATTTTTATATCATATATTATGGCCCAAATGATTTCAACTATAAATAATTGGCAACATATGGAAATATGACATATGTATATATCAGATTCTCAATTATAAACAATTAAATATATTAGCTGACTAATTAAAATCCGTGACAATTACGAACACATTAGCTTTTAACATTTCTTTCAAATGAGTGCACAAATTGAATTTCATGCTAAAGGACATGACACAACGCCATTTTTATGGAATTTAATTTAAATTAGCAATTGATCACCACAATCAACGACGATGTCGTCCTCATCGCCGTCATCATCATCAGCATCACCATAAACGTCAACATTATTGCAGAGCACATACTCTGACTGATATCAAATGGCCATATATATTTAAGCCAATCAAAGTTTATGCATCAATTAAACTTTGATATTGCGTGAAATTAATCTTCACGCAATGAAACGCATACACACGCACGCATATAGAGAGCTTCACACACGCACACGCTATTTTACACACACCATAACCACATTTACCAAATTACAACAACAAGGAGAAGCAACAACAACAACAAAGTGGGAGATTTTCATTTAATTTTTCACAAATGACAAATTTCCATTGGGAGGCTTTACAAAGGCCTTGAACCCACAGCCACAACAGCAGCCAGCACTAACACCACAATACTGCTGGTATTTAATTTATCAAAAAATAATCGAAAAGTATATCAATGACAACAAAAACAACAATAACTACTACGACTACAACAATAACATCAAAATAATCTGCATAATTAAGTGACTGCCACATCGATAAGGCTATTGTCACTTTTTGGTCCGAACTAAATTGATGGTCACTACCTTTCCATTTTGGGTGGTTCGATTGGTTGGTTTGGGCAGCCCTACCCAAACAAACAACCGCACACACACACATAGAAAAGCAAACAACTTATTAAATTTCTATTCACAGCATAATGTGCGAAAAATTAGTACTTATTTGCTCGTTGTCACGTCAATGTTTGATCTAGTCAAATTAGTTTTGAAAATTTTATAAATAAAAAAGGCGATTTAATAGCAACGACTACAACATTGAGTTCAGAGGTGTCATGTTGAACAAGTGGGAACATCGATAAGTTCAGCCGAGCCGATATTTGTATACCCCCCATAAATATCTATAGTGAGTGGATTGGTTTTATAGATGCTCTATCAAAATTGGGCCGATATTTCTTTTTTTGCAGGAAGATTTTTTACGCAATGAGCATCCAATATAAATGGGTGACGTAGGCGATGATAGATACCAAGGAACGACTCTGATCCAAAAACGGCATGAAGTTGATAGACTTCGCTGCAGCAAAAAACATGTTAGTTAGCAGCACCAGATTCAAGCATCTCGATATACACAACGCAAGCTGGCTTTCTACCAATCAAACTACAAGATGATGTCCGATTTGCCTAGAAGAATGTATGCCCAATGATTGGAACCTGAGCATCCTGTGTTCCGTGCACAAAAAAGGAGGCATGACGATATGTGCCAACTATAGAGGAATAAGTCTCCTTCCCATCGCATATAAAGTGCTATCCAGTGTGCTGTGTGAACGATTGAAGCCAATGGTCAATGACATCATCGGACCATACCAATGAGGCTTCAGACCTGGCAAATCCACCATTGACCAGACTTTCACTCTGCGCCAAATTCTAGAAAAGACCCACGAAAAACACATCGACACATACCACCTATTTGTCGACTATAAAGCCCTATCCGTTCAGAGGTGTTTAAAGCCATGTCTGCGTTCGGCATTCCTGCAAAATTAATACGGCTATGCAGGATAACTCTAAGTGGCACAATGTCATCAGTTAAAGTAGGAAAGGACCTATCGTAGCCATTCAATACCGATTCAGGCCAGGTGACAGTTTGTCGTGTGATCTTTTTAACATCCTACTGGAAAAGGTCATACGTGACGCAAAGGTGAACAGAAATGGCACTCTGTACACCAAACAACACATGTTACTCCCCTACGTCGATGACATCGATATAATGGGTCGAACATTGCGAGCGGTAACAGCCACCTTTGAACAAATTGAAAAGGATTCTGCCAAAGTGGGTCTGCCAGTAAACGGCGAGAAGACCAAGCTGATGGTATCAACGCGCAAGACGTCCAGTAGACTCGGACCAACTGTGGAACTTGAGAACTACAGCTTCGAGGTAGTTAAAGACTTTATATACCTTGGTACCGCCATAAATAAAACGAATGCCATCAGTTTTGAAATTCGGAGAAGGATTGTGATGGCCAACAGATGCTACTATGGTCTAAGTAAGCAGTTTAGAAACAAGGCCACCTCCCGCCAGACCAAACTCACACTTTACAAGACGCTGATACTACCCGTGCTATTATATGGATCAGAAGCATGGGTACTTGTGCAAGGAGATGAGGCAGCTCTTGGGGTATTTGAGAGAAAAATTCTCCGAAAGATCTACGGGCCGATCTGCGTCGACGGTGAATATCGGCGTCGAATGAACCACGAGCTTTGCAATTTATACGCGGACATCGACATAGTCAGTCGTATTGAGCTGCAGCGACTACGGTGGCTAGGCCAAGTTGTGCGGATGAATAAAAATGCCCCAGCTCAAAAGGCATATAAAAATGAGTCTACTGATGGTTCCCGTAGAAGGGGAAGGCCACGAATTAGATGGAAAGACCAAGTAGAAAACAACATCTTGAAACGTGGTCTTCCAAATTGGTGGACTTGCGCACAAGACCGACGCGCTTGGAAATCTTTTTTAAGCTCGGCTTATGGAACAACCGTTCTGTAACAAGTCAGCTAAGTAAGTAAGACGATATGTGGCAACTATAGAGGAATAAGAACTTATCGTAGGTCGGTCATCTTATACAGAAGACTTGCAAGTCATTTTATAAAGAAGACTTGGTGTTCTTACATAAGCCTAAAAGGTTCTCTAATAAAGAAGACTTTATAGTTTTCTTATACAGAAGACTTGAAGGACCTCTTATACAGAAGACTTAAAGGACCTCCTATACATAAGACTGACTTGATGGTCTTCTAATACAGAAAACTTTAAGGTCTTCTTATACTGATGACTTGAAGGTCTTCCGATACAGAAGGCTTGAAGGACCTCCTATACAATAGCATTGATGGTCTTCTAATACAGAAGACTTGAATGACTTTTTTATATATAAGACTTAAAAGCCTTCCTATACAGAAGACTGAAAGGTATTCTCATAGAAGAATACCTGCACGTGTCCTCATACAGTAGACCTGAAGGACGCTTTATAGAGGAAATGAAAGGTTTATTATAGAAGACGTGAATGTATTGAAGAAGACTTTAAGGTTTTCTCAATGAAGACTTTAGCCTTTTCAAGAATATTTGAGTATTCTCAAAGAATTAATGACAACATTTAAATTCACAAATATAGATTGGACTGCTCTTATATACGATTTCAATGTATTTTGGGGAAGACTTTAAAGACTTCTTATAGAAGACTGGATGCTCCTAACATGAAGTTTTTCTCGTAGGATAAAGGTTTCCGCAAGGGACAATTTCGATTTTTTAATGAAATACTTCAATGTCACAATCTACTGTGTCTTCTTCTCATAAAAAACTGTAGAGCTTCTTAGAAGTCTTGTCATAAAACAAACTAGGAAAACTTTGAAAAAATTTGGCTGACTTTTTATAAAGTAATTAAGAGGAGAATTAGAGAAGACTTAAATATAAGTTTACAGAAAGTTTTCCCATAAATTACTGCAAAGACATCTTATAGAGGACATTATGGTATTTTTATAGAAAAATTGAAGAAATTTGTGGCTTTAAGAAATATTGTATAAGACATAAACAGTTTCTGGGTAAATGTCTCAAAACACCTATTATAGAAACCTTTAAGATTTTCATATCGAATACAATGAAATGCAATTCTTTAATAGTAATAAAAACACTCTTATGTCTACGTTTTTTTTAATTTTCTTTATTCATTCTTTTGGTCTGAACATACAAAAAATGTTGATTACATTTACGTGCCACGTTATGATAACACGCAGCCTTTTATTGTTCTCTCTTCGAAACACCAACACCCAATCGTCTATTCAGCCAAGGTGTTGGCGTTCCTCAGTTCTTCTATCCACTCATTTTCGAGTCAAAGAATTTATTTTTAATAATAGTAATTTAATAATAATAGAAACTAAGCAATAAATATAATAAACAAATGCTATTGTTTTGAGGGTAGGATGGATGTACAACACAACAACAACAGCAGGAATACAATAAAGAAAATATTTCCATCGGCAACACTGCTCTGGATGTAATTGGTAAGCTCGTCATCATTAGAAAGTCACAATATAGCCAGTCATTCTATTGAGCAACCTTTTTACTACCTTCCGAATCATTGGATGTATTGGTGGTTTTACTGCTCTTCTTTTCTTTGGCAGCTTTATTGTTAGCCTTCTTCTTGCCAGGCGGGGCAGCTTTACGTTCAATATCATCATCTTCTTTGGGATAGATACGTCGGAAGAGGACAGCATCTGCACGACTTAAACTTGCTTCTATTGGGGGCTCACATTCATTCTTGAGGATGCGACCAAAATGATCATCCAGATTACACCATAAACGTTGATTCCAAGGCACACTCAGTTTATCCAACATGCGACCAGCAATGCCGGGTAATATCGGTTGCAAAGCAATGCCACACAGACGCAATGTGTCCATTGTCATTGCAACAATTGTCTCCAGCCGCAGGGCATTCTCATCAGAGGGTGGATACAAAAGGCTACGTTTAGCTGGTTCGGTAACAGTTTTTAATTTTAATTCCCAGGGACGTGAAGTTTCAAAGAAACTATTGGCAGCATGCAGGGCTGACATTACCGTATCTACGGCCATATAAAAATTCTTGTCCTCATAGTGTTGGGTACATTTGGCTGCCAGAAGGGTCGAAAAATATCCGATGAAAAGATAGGGACAGAGCCGATTGTCAGGAATAAATGACAAAATTTAAGTTCACATTATAGTAACCACCAGTCAGCAGCATTATTCGAAGTTGGAGCAGTATCATCATCATTAGGACACCACCACCACACAACCAGTATGGAAGCAATGTTGGACAATAGCAGAGAAGCCATTGTCATTACATTATTGTTTTTTATTTTATCCAACAATGTTACGAAGAAGTTAACGTAGAAGTAGGGTAGGGGAAGCGATCAGTCAAAAAAAAAAGAAATAGAAAATATTGTTATTGTTATTATTTTTATTAAAGAACATCTTTAGTGTTTTATCTTATGGCTAGAATTCTTTTTAATTTTTATTACATTTTATGAGCTGTCAAGTCGTAATGTGCGGAATATTGCAAGCATGCAGAAGGAGGAGTGATAAGTTTGGGAAATGTTATTTTTAAAAATTGTAAAAAGCTAAGAAAAAACTGATCTAAGACCTTTTAGACTTCTAGAATAGGACCTTCTTCTGGAAAAAAGACCTTGTAGTTAAATCTTCTATAAGGTGACCTTTAAGATTTCTATGAGAAGACCTTCAAACCGTCTATGAGAAGACCTTCAAACTTACTATTAGAAGACCTTCATGTCTTGTATCTGAAGACCTCCAAATCTTCTATGAGAAGACCTTCAAGACTCCCATAAGAAACCCCTTACTTCAAGTCTTCTATAAGACCTTCAACTCTTCTATAAGATGACCTTCAAGTCTCCTCTAAAGAGACTTTAATGTCTTCTATAAGAAAACCTTCAAGTCTTCTTTAAGAAAACCTTCAAGTCTTCTTTAAGAAGACCTTCAAGTCTTCTAGTAGAAGACCTTCATGTCTTCTATAAGAAGACTTTCAAGTCTTCTATAAGGAGACCTTCAAGTCTTCTATAAGGAGACCTTCAAGTCTTCTATAAGGAGCTCTTCAAGTCTTCCCGGTGAAGACCTTTAAGACTTCAGTAAGAAGACCTTTAAGACTTCAGTAAGAAGACCTTCAAGACTTCTACAAATGAAGAGATTCAAGTCTTCCAAGGGAAGAACTTCAAGTCCTGCAATCTTCAAGTCTTCTAGGAGAAGACCTTAGACTTTTATATAAGAAGACCTTCGAGCTTTCTATAAGACCTTCCAGACTTCTTAAAGAAAACCCTCATGGTTCATTTTAAAAGGCCTTCCAGACTTCTCAGATGAAGATATTCAATTCTTCTAAAAGAAGTCTCTCAAGCCTTCTAGAAGAATACCCTCCAGTCTTGTAGAAGAAGACAGTTAAGTCTTCCAAGAGAAGACCTTCAAATCTTCTTCAAGAAGATCTTCAAGTCTTCTATAAGAAGACCTTCAAATCTTCTTCAAGAAGACCTTCAAGTCTTCTATAAGAAGACCTTCAAGTCTTCTATAAAAGACCTTCAAGTCTTCTATAAGAAGACCTTCAAGTCTTCTATAAGAAGACCTTCAAGTCTTCTATAAGAAGACCTTCAAGTCTTCTATAAGAAGACCTTCAAGTCTTCTATAAGAAGACCTTCAAGTATTCTATAAAAAGACCTTCAAGTCTTCTGATGAGAAGACCTTCAAGTCTTCTGATGAGAAGACCTTCAAGTCTTCTGATGAGAAGACCTTCAAGTCTTCTGATTAGAAGACCTTCAAGTCTTCTGATGAGAAGAGCTGCAAGTCCTCCATAAAAAGACCCTTACTTCAAGTCTTCTATGAGACCTTCAAATCTTCTATAAGATGACCTTCAAATCTCCTCCATAAAGACTTTCATGTCTTCTTTAGGAAGACCTTAAAGTCTTCTAGAAAAAAACTTCAAGTCTTCTATATAAGAGGATCTCCAAGTCTTCTCTATAAGAAGAAGGCATTTTCAAGAGAAGACCTTCAAGCATTCTATAAGAAGACCTTCAAGTCTTTTATAAGAAGACCGTCAAGTCTTCTATAAGAAGACCTTCAAGTCTTCTATAAGAAGACCTTCAAGTCTTCTATAAGAAGACCTTCAACTCTTCTATAAGAAGACCTTCAAGTCTTCTATAAGAAGACCTTCAAGTCCTCTATAAGAAGACCTTCAAGTCTTCTATAAGAAGACCTTCAAGTCTTCTATAAGAAGACCTTCAAGTCTTCTATAAGAAGACCTTCAAGTCTTCTATAAGAAGACCTTCAAGTCTTCTAAAAGAAGACCTTCAAGTCTTCCATGGAAAGACCTTAAAGTCTTCTATCCGAGGTTGTTTATATGAGGACCTTGAAGTATTCTATTATAAATCCGATAAAAATCTTCGCCTTCCTACCAAACTTATCATTCCCCACCCCCCAAAAACGACATTTCCCAGCATGCTTAAAGAACAGGCGAATATGCATTTAATGGACATTATTGTAATTGGTTTGATGTTGAAAACGATGGTGGCAAAAACAAATGCAACAGCAGCTGCAACAACAACAACAGCATCAGCAATAAACTATTAACCAGCAATGCTGGCTGGCAGAGTTGGCTAAATGAATATTTGCAGCAATGGCTGGGAAGGATAGATGAGTGGTAGTGTATAGATGAGATGGATGGATGCACGAATGAATGAATTACTGAATTGTTGGTTAGCTGGTTAGTTGATTGTGTGGTTGGTTGGTTGGATGGTGATGTGTGGCTCGTGTGGATGATGGAAGCCAAGCTTACGACGAGATGGTGTCGCTCGTTGGCTGGCTGGCTGGTATCGGTATGCGTGCGTTAGTAAAATGCAAGTATAAATGATTGAATTAATGCCGGTGGAACTATAGCTGGTTAGCTGGAGTTTAAAGTGCATGCAAAGCAATTTAATGTCCTTTAACAAAGATGGTGTGCGATAAAGTGTGTGTGAGTAAGAGTGTAGGTGTGTGCGGTATGCGATGTGTTTGGTATAATTGGTGATGGTGTTGTGATGGTAAACCAGGTTACTAACTACACATTGGCTACGTAACATTAAATGCTCGACTAGTAGTAGAATATGCGGCAACAACAACAGAGAATATTGGTTAAGCAGCTTAAATGCAGTAGCTCATGACCACAGCAGCATAGCAAGGCGTTTTAACACCAATGCTTGCTTCTGTGCGTTTGTGTGTGTGTTTCTTTTTTATTTATTTAAGTTGCTTTCTTTTTGTTTTGCTTTTTTGTATTCTTTGAATAACAATAAAATCTGATTACCGTCAACAAGCACTCAAGAGTAGTGGTGGTTGGTCGCTTTTATTATAACAATAGTAGTAATAAAAAAACTAAAAGTGAAACGAATAAATTAAAATGTATTAAATATTGTAATATGCTATCAACAGATGCTATATTGTTCGTAGTAAATGTGATTTATACAGGTCGGGAGATACATTCAAAGAACAATAAACTATTTTAGCTATAATTGACAACTTTTAATTGGTTGTTGTATGTTTTTAGAGCATACTTTTAGGCGTTTGTCGTTTCTTTAAATCTCTTTTCTTTGTTTTTGGAAAGGGTTGCCATTCGAGAAAATGGAAAACTCCAATGGGAACATATCCGAGCATATTAGATGCATATTTTCAAAAAGAACTTTTATAGTATTTTTCTCTAAGATGGGCTAATCTTTGTAAATAATATTGTAAATATTTGTTATATAATCTATTACATAACGTAGTATTGGTACGTTATGACTGGTACGAAAACTCTTTATAAAATTCACTATACCAGAAACCATCGGTACAGGGTTAAGGGACAGAGTTAGAATTTTCAAATTTAGTATGAAGATCATTTTTTTATACCCTCAGCCTTTAGGTTAATGAGGGTATATAAAGTTAATTACGGTGTAATTTGCCTGATCGAAATATTGGTTTTAGACCCCATGTTTCTTTGGACCAAATCCGTTTCAGAAAATTTGGAGTCGATTTAACCATATCCGTCCGTCTGTCTGGCTGACTGGCTGGTGCGCACTACAACTCTTGAAGGCAGCAGCCGATTTCATTCAAACTTTGCACATCTTAATATTTCGTCCAAACTTAGTTTAAGTTCAAAGATGGGGAATATCGGTCCACACTTTCTGGTACCTCCCCCACAAAATGGTCAAAATTGTACTAAAAATTTGTTTTATAATAACATGCAAACGGACTATCCGATAGTAACGAAACTTTGTACAGCATATTATCTTTACCAAGCCTAGATCAAGTTTGAAGATGGCACCCACTGGACCACTCAAAACGGTTTGTGGTACCTGCCCCACAGATGGTCAACATTTTCAATATTTATTATACCAATATCAAACTAATCGAATTTCCGTTTCGAACCAAACTTTGCACAACGTATTACCTTTACCAAGCCTAGATCAAGTTTGAAGATGGGGCCCATTGGTCCACTCTTTCCGGTATCTTCCCCCACAAATTGTCAAAATTGTGTTAAAAAAAAAATTATTATAAAGTTTGAAGATGAGACCCATTGCTTCACTCCTTCTGGTACCTGCCCCACAAGTGGTAAAAATTTTCAATATTTGTAAATCCAATATTAGGAAAATGAAATGTCCGATATGAACCAAACATTGCACAAGCCATTATTTTTACGAAGTCTATATTAAGTCTAAAGATGGGACCAGTAGTCTACTCCTTCCTGTACCTCCCTCACAAATGGTCAATATTTTATAAAATTTAATTCGAAACCTCTTTGATAAAAAAAATATTTCTTATATAATAATAAAGTCTGTGTCTAATTCCGAAGACTTCCGCAAACCATAGGCTGGGGTTATATATCTGTCGGCAACACCGACTGACACTTTTTTACTTGTTCTTTTTAGAGTTGAAGTAAGACGGCAGTTTCGAAACAACGTATTAAAAATTTCCGTGAAATTTGATTTGATATAAAACTCTTACAGAATTAAGTCGCTGTTTGAGTGTAGTGTGTTAAATGGTACTAAGGGTTTCTATAGACCAATAAAGGTGAATGATTGTAGGTTAATTCTTTTAAAGTGTAGGGTTGATATATGGAGGAGATTTTTTGTTATTTAGTACAAATGTTTGAGTTTATGGTGCGGATGTTTGAAACAAAATAGTGGTAAAAGAAATGTTTACTAAGTCTTACGAAAAGTACAAAAATATACTAAATGAGCTACAATCGAATTTGAATTAACGAATAGGTCCTAAACATAAACATAGTGTCGAATGACTTATTTGACACTTTTGGGAGATCGTTTGCATTACATTTGTTTGTCCATTACACTCAACCAAATAACAGAGGCTTATGTTAGAATTTGTATAATAATGCTTTTCTAGATTCAGTGTACACTCTTTGGGTATATTTAAAATATTCAGAAGTTGCAAATGGTGGCTTCAAGGTAGCAGCGGATTGCGATGAAATCAACTACATATTTAGCATTAGTTCATATTTAGCATTAGGTATTTATTTAGCATTAGGTAGAAAAACGTGGAAATTTTCATCATGTTCATTAGAAAGGAATAGATTGGGATGCCACTATTATATATCAGCTCCGGAAAAGTTGATGTTGAGCTCAGTCCGCAACCCCAAATATTGTCGAAAATTAGATGATTATTATTATTTGGGCCATTCGTAAATCCTGAGCTATTAGTGAAAACTGGGATAAAAGGGTTATTTTTAAAGAAAATTTGCTCAAGGACCTTCAGTGCAATAAATAAGGATTTACCAAAGAATCATCAGTTATATTAGAATAGATTTAAAGAAATCAAAGCTATAAGTATCAATTTTTAATATTATATTTCAAGGACGTGTTTCCATAAGACCAGCTAGTTTTTATACATTTTCATAAATGTATAATGAAACGAAATTACTTCCAAAAGGTAATAATTCCTTTAAAACAACTCCGCTGAAGATCTTCCTTATTTTTTTTTAACTTGGTTTGTGATCAAAAATAGGCGGTTTTCCAAAAAAAAAATTTAAACGTCCGCCATTTTATTAATTTTTGAGCGAAGGCATAACAAGGAGACAGGACTTATTGTATAGCCTTTCAATAACAGATTTATTGAACCAATTTTATTGAACTTCGAACTTCGCTTAAATGAAACATATATCAACTATCCGAACTTCATCACTGGTCTTGGCCACTTTCAATTAAGTGAATTGCCTGTATTTAACTTTGTACATATTAATATTTACAATCAGCCTAGATCAAGTCCGACGATGGAACTTATCGGTTGAATCCTAATGGTACCTCATCCTCAAAGTGTCAAAATTCTGAAAATTCGTCCTTCTGATATCTCCCACACAAAGGGTCAATATTTTTAAAACTTGTAAATGTGGTTATATTTCTCGACAACAACAACTGAAATATTTTTATACATGTTTCAAAATGTGTTTCCAAAGGTTAGCGCATTTATAAGCCTGGATTTTTTAAGAAATACATTTTCCGACCACCTCCAACTCACAACACATCCATAGGTTGGTAAAAATCTAGCCGCAATTAAAATATATTTTTTGAATTAGCTTGCATGTAAAGGTCTCGTCTTATTTTTGGTATTTTGATGCGGCTAAGGATATTCCCCGCAGAATTCCGAACGATTTATGTATTTTGAAGGCACTAATCTCATTTTCTAATCGATGTGTACTTTCACATTTGAAGTTCTGAGAGGATAGCAGATCTCCTTTTATGTAGACCATTTTCAAAACAAGTATTGAATGTATTCAAATTTCTCTTCGCAGAAAAGTTTCGTCTTGTTTTGACATAGTGGTCTGTAAAAGGATACCGAAATAATTTTTTTTATTTTGAATGCACCAGCCTTAATTTCCAACCGCTGCACTTTGGTCCAGGAACCCAATTTTTTGGCAAAAATTCAATTTCAGGTAGATCTGATAAAACGTTATATATATATATTTCACATCTGGAGACTTTATGCTTTATACCATTTAACATTTTATAACATTGTGGGTCACGGTTTACAAATGACAATATTTCCGGTCCAACCTTTGAATTTATATATTTTTCTTCCAGAATCGTGGGCGGCGTACCGAAACCCATATATGTGATATTTATTTATTTGATAAACCCACTGCTCTAAATATTATCAAAAATATGATATCTGGCCCATCTGAGGTCGTACGCTATATGTAGGTCTATATTCTGACAGTATCTTCGGCATCGGGGCATATTCGGCAATCGCGTTTTCCATATAAAGCTCTCACCGTACATCACTAGTTTCGATACATAGGTATCGAATATCGAAATAAGTAACTTTCGCAACGCTAATAAGCTTATTTAGATTCACGGTTTTTTGGTATTTTTACAGATGTTTTTGTAATATTTAAATTCCACTTCGTAAGACGAAGCGTGCTTGTATTGAAGAAAATGCGATAGAATATAGCTACTTCTTATAGTGTGTGTCTGTGACCTGGAGACGTCAACGTCCGCTGCTAGAAAATATAGTCGTAAAAGTCAAACTTTTGAGTCGCATATTAAAACAAAATTGAACCTTTAGAGGATCTGAATTTCATCATCATAAATACCAGTCTATGACTATGGTGCCGAATGTACCTCATCAAATGCCGATGCTACCCCGGGTAGGGGGCACTTTCGGCGAATTTGACTTTTTTTTACAAAACTGTAAAAATGTTTACCAAATACTAATTTATTATACGTTTATTGGTACTAGTTTTTATAATTAAGTATCAGAGGACAATATTCAGCCATAAAGTTTTTATATCTGTTGAATAAGTACTGAAATATAGAGCTCTAAACAAAAAGTGCCGAAGGTGTCTCAGTCTCCCCTACACCAATTGAGCTTCTAATTTAATTTTTGGGTTCTAATCTTCGGAAAACGTTATCGAAGTTTAAAATTTACGAATTTTTAATATTTAAGAAAAATATCCCTCATGATATTCTATTTTTATGCACAAATTTTATTAATACATAATTTAAATATTATCAATAAATTTCCTAATTTCAGAAATTATTCTAAGCGCTAATAAAAGGAAATGGGAAACAAAAGCTCCCTGGGGGTGTTAAAAAGCAGCACCAATATATATTGTTAAAGTGTCCAATAGTTAAACAGTAGCAGCAACCACTACTAACTTCAACCTTGATAAATGCGGCAATCTTGTATTCATGCAATCTATTTTTATGCTGGGGCAAAACTAATAACCAGCCAATTCGCGATAGTGACTACGACACCACTCACCTTGGTGGCCTTACTCACAGCTCAAAGCCTTAAAGCTAGGTAGAGTGACGGGTACCACCGACGCCGCCAATAACAACAGAAATTACTTTATCTCTCAAGTAATATGATTGCTAATCAAATTTTAATGAATGATAAGAGTGCAAGTGCACAACAACAAGAAAAATAAAACAACAAAAAATGGAAGGAAAAAACCTAGAGGAAGGAAGGTTAAGCAAGTTTCCTCGATAGCATAAGGAAAATAAGAATCAAAAGCGAATAAGGATGCCAAGTGCAATTGGTGATGTTTAGCCAAGATGCTGTTCACGATGTTGATGGTGATTGTGGGAATGAGAATGACGTTAGTTCTTCGTTAGTGGTGGTGGTAGTGGTGATGGTAATAATAACATTTAAAAAAACAAAACCTCTTGCAACGATTTTTCATCTACTCAAGAAGTCGTCGTCACCGCCACCGCCGCCAACACGACCACTAACGAATGAATGAATGGCTTAAAGGATCTACACAACACTACGCATTCTGTGCAAGGTAAAAATCAGCCAAATGCAATAAAACTACCACCACACTTAATACAATACATAAGCTTACAACAACTACAAGACCAACAGCAACAACAACAGCGGAGGCGAATTGAATATCCTCCTTCACCTGCCGCTGCTACTGCAGCTTGGCAAAGATTTAAGACGACTTACCTTTAAGTTGCTCCAGAGATTTTAACAAATGTTGTGCTGCTTCCGTTGTCATGATATCGCGTAGCTGGGCTGTATGCAAACGCGGATAGATTTGTCGTGGATTCAAGGATTTGGCACAAACCCGTGATAACAGATTGCCCATGGTGTCGGCAAGTTCAGCATTTAATATTCGCATTGCCTTAACGCTGCTATAATCTGTGGAGAAAAAAAGAAGAAGAGGAAGACGGGGAAGATGAAAAGAAGTGCCGTTAGCAAGTTATTAATGAAAATGTTGGGTTCGTTGGAGGATATTAATGGAACAGAAATGTAGGTATATATATTTATAAATTGTAAAAATGATAATTTGTGTGTCAGTAACATAAATTGTTAAATATATTTTTTTTAGGAAAGAGAATTTAAAATTCAATAAACGACAACATTTTAATTATGTCATATATTTCAGAACCATACTGGTATTCCGCAGTTACGAAGTCTACAAAATTACTGCCTGATGCCAAGGTGGAACATTTTTTATCTATACTTAACGATTTATCAATGGAATTTAGGTGAGGGCCATTCGTAGTCCAAATATGTCAGATAGGGCTGAGTTTTTTGGAAATTGATATTATAACGGAACTACAAGTACTAAAAAGTACTAAATTTGGTGTCATTAGTATTTGGCAAATCGGTAGAGCTAGAATTCTTAAATTTGAAATGTGTAGAATAGATGTAGATGTAGGATACGGGATTTTTTTGGAAATTCCAACTACAAGTATCCGAAAAGTACTAAAATGTACTAAATTTGGTAAAATTTCGTAGCATGTGAATGGATAGAGCCAAAAACATGAAATTTGGAATGCGAATTAAGGTTGGGAATTAGGGTCGATATAAAGAGGTGGTTTAGAAAGCGTGTACTCGTGTATACGAATAGTACTAAACTGTACTAAATTTGGCACAATGTGAATTTGGATAAATGGATTGAGCAGAAATCGTAAAATTTTAAATTAATACTACCGTCAGAGTGTAATGTGGGTATTTTTGGATATTTGTACTTATGAGTACGAAAAGTACTAAATGGTACAGTTTCGATTTGGGTGAGCCGATAAAGCTAGAACGCTGAAATTTAGATATAACATTACTACTACATTGAAGAATTGAGGTATATTGGTAGTTTGAGAAATTGTACTTATGTGTACTAAATTTTGTACAACATTTGAATTCTGACATTTGGAATTGGGATCACTGTTGGGATGTAGGATTTGGGTACGTAGGAAGTCTTGGAAATTTCTATTAATGTGTACTAAATAGTACTAAATTTAGTACAATTTAGATTTAGGTGAACCGATAGAGCTGGAATCCTGAAATTTGGAAATACGTTTATTATTGGAGTGTAGGATTGTAGGTATGAGTGCAGTTTTGGAAATTTGTACTTATTAGTAATAAATGGTACTAAATTTGATACCATTTTGATTTAGAGCTGGAATAGAAATATTGCTGTTGGTAGTACGAAACATTGAGGTATGTAGGTGGTTTTGAGAATTCATACTAAGAATATATGTACTAAATTTGGATTTAGTATAAACCGATGGGTCTAAAGTCCTGAAATTAGGAAATAATATTAAATTGGGGAAAAAGAAATCCATTATTTTTTCGACAGATGGGTATACGGAAAATTTTCTCGTAAAGTATCGATCAAACTATTTCAGATTTATGTTCGTTGGAAGGGTGACACATCGCAGTAAAAAAAATATTTTAATGTTTTTTGTTTGGTGTATTCAGTTGTGAGTTACAGGGTGTTAAGAATAGAAGTGAACAAAGAGAAAATTCGGTACATTTTACAGTTTTTCTTTGACAACGGCGAAAATGCAAGCCAACAAATTTGTGAATGGTGTTTATGGTTCCGATATTGTAACAACCAATTATGTGCAATTTTAGTTTCGTAGATTCCGCTCAGGGATTTTTTATGTTAAAGATGTACCTCGCACAGGTAGGCCGATCGTCGAAAATGTCGATAAAATTGGGGAGATTATTGAAGTTGATCGGCATGTTAGCAAACGTAACATCGCCCAGGAGCTAAAAATCGACCATAAAACTGTTTTAAACCATTTACATTTAACCAGAAAGAGAGGTGTCGTCTTCAAAGAGGAGAGGTGTCATCTTCCACCAGGAAAAAGCTAAGCCACACACATATACAGTGACTTGGTTGGGAAGTTTTAATGCATCCGCCATACAGTTCCGACTTCTTGCATTGCACAATTTCTTTACTGATCAAAAATTTGTATCTAAGGAGGATTGTGAAAATCGAATACTAGAGTTTTTTTGCAAAGTTACCTTTAAAATGGCAACAAATCATACAACCATCATCGGACTTCATCTAAGATTATTAAAGATAATATGTTGAGCATTTTTTTTTTAATCGGATATTATAAAATTAATTTTTAGCACAATTTTGAGGAACCAGTACGAGTGGACCGATATTCCCCATCTTCGAACTTGAACTAAGTTTGGAAGAAATATTACTATGTGAAAAGTTTGGGTGAAATCGATTGCTCCCTTCATTGTCTGAAACGGATTTGATCCAAAGAAATTTGGGGTCTAAAACCAATATATCGATCAGGAACATTTTTGCCGTATTAAAGTGTATATACCCTCAATAGCCATTAGCTTTTGGGTATAAATATTACAATGTGCACTTTTCGAAAGTTATCCATGCAGACAGACATTCCTAAATCTGATCTAAATTATCAGTAATTAATTAGGGGATAAAACCGATATTTCGATGAGACATTCGTATCGAAGTGCATTAGACATAAGACTGCGAGCAATAAAATGATAAAAATCTCGCAATCACAGTTCCTAAAACTAAAGTCTTTTCGTGTCTTCGTGACACCAATCTTTGGAAAATTCAAGGTTTTAAGGCAAGTCAGTGAGATGGGGAATAATAACCAAGCACTTTGATCCAGAATAATTGAAACATTGTTACGTGTTAAGCAAAGCCAAAGATTGTCCGTTTCTCGTCGATATTTGGAATTCGGCATTCCACAACATTCATGTCGGGTAATTTTGCGTAAGGCTTAAAATGTTCAGTTATCACAAGAACTCATGCCGGCCGCCCCATCTTCAACAACGACGTGTATCTATTAATTGAGTCCTTACAAATTTCGGAATTCTCATTATCATTGGTCAAGATAATGAGGCTAATTTCATTACTAACGACGTTGCTTCCTCTTTATTGTTTGTTGAAATCACAATAGAGCTCACGATAAATAGAACTTTGCAATTTAACACATACCTTGCCAGTACACCTGGTATGTTTAGGCTCGTTTTTCAACCAATTTTAGCTCTCATTGTGTAGAAAATCTCTCTACCAAAAATTATAAATATAGACCCAAGTTTCGGGGCAGACTTCATATAACCATTATCGGCATTTGATATTTTGGTCCAATATCGGATCTTGATCAAGTATAGCCCATAATTTTCGTTATTTTGAAAATTTAGGGCATGCTTTCCAACTAAGCTGGTTTTAATCTGATATTTTGAGTTCTCATTGGGTGTCAAATTTGCGTACCGAAAATAAAACTATCATAAATTTCTGGGTATAGCCTCATTGAAAAATAAGGGCTCTTTCAAAGGTATCACATGACAAATTGGCTGTAATTTGACAATACGGGACCTTGATGGGTCAACAACTTTATCACATAGCATTTTCATTATTAGTCCATGTTAATATAAAGCCCCAATGCAAAGGCTAAGCGTCATTTTTGGTTTGTTCAAAGCCCCGGCCTTATTTTCCAAACTAAGTGTCTGTAGTTTGGTATTTCGTTTTCTTCTGGTAGCAATTTGCCATGACCTGGCTCCTATATAGAAGTCCCGATAAATGTTAGGAATTTCAGTTCAAGTTCATCTATGTGGAGGATTAGTTAAGTATGACTACATCTACATAACTATGTAGCCCATACAAAGAGACATATCAAATCAATTAAAGAAAATATTTTATTTTTTAAAGACATTTAAAGAAGCTGCACGTTGGGTGCCAATAAAGCTGACCTCACGTTGGGCGTTAATAAAGCACCTCGTGAGCGAAGCTTGTGTGGCTTCAACCGAAACAACACGATTTAAAATAATGTTTTCACTCCTTGTTTAGGAACTACTTCCAGCTTAAGATCTAAGTCCATCAACTTGGGCAAGCGTGGGTAATTATCTAAAGAGTTCAGTGTTCGCTAAACGAATCAGAGTCGGAGGGTCCAGACTCGGAGTGTAGCGAATTTATTGACATTAGATTGAGCTTAGGTACTACTTATAGAGGCGAGCTTCTAATCTAGTATGAGTTGTGTAAAAATGTAGTAATATCAGTGATGTAGTTTTTGGTACTATTTACAAAATATTTACACAAAAATGTATGTTCCAGTACTTTTTTAATAGTAAAGCTAGTAAAAGGGAAACATTTCAAAATTGCTCTCAGAGTACAAAATAATTTGAAAAGTTCGGTAACGCAAATCTAGTAAATATGCCAAAATTAGATGGCAATACTTCATAATCAACATAACAGCCAAATTTCTCGAGTAGAAACTTTACAAAGAGAACTTTAAATTTGATTCAATGTTTTACCAGTTTTGTGGGTTCAGGAACGGTTTTCGAGTAAAACTGATACAAAACTAGTAAAATTAGTAGATTCTTGTTGGTTCTGGAACGGAACTATAGTTAACCGTTAATTTCAAATATTTAAAACAGAGTTGCATTTTAGTATTTAAATGATTAATAAAACGAATGTGTTTATACTATAGTAAATAAAATTTGAATAAAAATAGAGTTGATACGCTTCACATTTATATTTTTAAAGCTACATTAATTGACTAAAGGCACATGCAAATTTTAAGAAATCTAAATTGTGATTGGCTCATTGTAGAATAAAATATGATGCTGAATATGGGGATTGAACTGCTTAAACACAGGCTCAGCATCAAATGGATGATGCTAATTTTTTATTCGCATAAACTTATTTGGACCCCTTTACTCCATTTTATATACTAATGCAAATTTTTACATTTTTGCAGATATTAAATTTTAACTACTACCAACTAGTCACACACACCCTCACACTAAATTCTCCCAATGCAAAAAAATTGCTAATGAAATCGAAAACTAGACGACGACGCCGTTTTCAATTTATCATCGAAATTTGCTAAACTCATCAGAAAACGCCAACATTCAATCAA